AAGCAGAGTGGCGCAGTGGAAGCGTGCTGGGCCCATAACCCAGAGGTCCGAGGATCGAAACCTTGCTCTGCTATGTTAAACGGTGGATACATTTTTTATTATATTTTTTTATACTTTATATACATACAAAAGTATATTATTTATTATATATTATGTTATATAAAATTTTTTTTAGTGTTTTTAAGGGTAACGTTAGACATTTTTTTGATACAAATATAATATATTGTTATTTGATATTTTTTATATACTTGTATTATTATTTATTTATATAAATTTTAGAGCATAATCATATTTAGTATAGTCAAGAACTCATTCATATCATTCATATCATAGTTAAGCTTTAGTTACTTCACAACGTTCCCAAGCAGCTTCAAACATCATCAGATTCACCACATTTTAATCCTAAATAGCGTCTATGAGATTCACTGGTACGTAAAATCCGCCAACGCATAAATACCTCAAAGGATATGCTCAAGGATGTCCTGCACGAGGACTGGGCTCACATCCCTTTGGCAGAAACCTCTAAGTTTGTATATTCTATGATTATAAATTTTAAGAATAATTCGTAAGAAAAATAAATTCGAGTCATGTACCTTGTACGCAGACTTTTTATAATGGATTTTCTATTCGTCCGTGTGTTTTGTTTTTTTATATTATTTAATCTCTCTTATTTTTAGAAAACTACATATCATCATGTCATGTACCTTGTACGTACCTTGAATATCAAAAAATTGGTTATATATATATAAAGTTATTTGTTCCAAAAATTTATTTTTGTTGGTACCTTGTACTCAGACTTTTTCTGCTCAGTGTATGTAGTTTGCTGCAACTTACATTCAGTTAGTTATATGTCTTAAAGTATAACTACGTATTATTGTATGTAAGATACCAGTTGATTAGTTCTGGTTTTCTTTCAATGAAATTCCGCGACTGTCTATACTCAAAGTTATAGTTATTTCACATTTTTGGAATAATTGGATTTGCTTTAATATGCACTATACACACATACCAGTATGTATATGTATAAAAAACATGCACGCATATTTAGATATGCACATACCTTGCATTCCGCCATCACAACATGTATAGACTTGCAGCGAAAAACAGTAAATGCCAAGCAGCGCAGTCAAACTGTCAAACGAAGAAAAAATATTGCAGTGGAAATTATCGCATAATTTGAAATCAAAGCGGAAAAGAGAATTTCAAGTGGGCTAAAAAATCGCAATCAATGATGCAGCAGATGCAGTAACAATAAAAAAAAAAACACAACTGCATACAAACTTAAGTCGCTGGAAGACAGTCAAGTACACGTGTAGAAGCAATGCGCCCAACGAGCGGGGATAAGAGCAGAGAAGAGCCTTAAAAACTTCTAAAGAACAGCGTAGCAACGAAAGAAGTCAAAATCGAAGGAAGGAAATTGTCAGCATTGCCCATAGTGTGGGAGCAACAACAAAAATGTTTAATATTAACAAGTAGGAATGAAATGTTGGTGATGTCGTTCCAGATTTTTTACTTTTATTTCTTGTTCGGTTGACTACTTGCCGCCTTACTGCTGGCTGATGCGCGTCATTCATTGTTGTTATTATTGCTACAATACGATAGCACTCCGTCTCAATCACAGGATAATCGTTGAAAAATCGCAAATGAAATATAAAAAGAGAACAACAATCACAAATAATAGAAAACTAAGCGCAGCAGTGAAGCTGTGTGTTGTCAGAGCAGCTGACAATAAGTGCAACGAAAGTGAATTGTGGGATTGTGACTGTTGTAGATTCAGACCCACCCTAATATAATATTTAATTTCTATGTTTATTTTACAGTTGTATGTTTCAATTCCAATTTCTTTATATGCTCTTGAATTGTCTCGCATTCCATTTACATACATACATTTCCCGCTATACAGTTTCTGTTTCCTTGTTTGTGCGATTTATATGTTTGCCATTCTCCCTTCGCATAAACAGGTAGGCACAAACTACATATGTTAAGTTATCTACATGGTTGTTGTTTGTAAACTGCAGTGTGCAGTTCCCCTATTCTCCTGTGCTGATCTGTACGGTAAATGACAATATTTGTGCATATAAGTTCTGGCAAATCATATTCGAGCTTTGTCATCGATCAGCCAGCCAGGAAGGTGGAAGGACACACTGCGGTAAGTGAAATATATTATAATTCTTTGTAAGTGAATAACTTAAATGCTTGTGTATTTAGAAATAAACCATAAACCAAATATGCGTTAAATTCGCCCCACCTCATCGGTGACAGTGACAAACAGAAAACAACAAGAAACGTCGAAAAGTTAAAGAAAAAGTTAAAAGGGATTGCATAGACGAAAAAGATTTTAGTTTGATGCAATGTTTGAAGGAGACAAATAGGCATTTCGATTTTTTTGGAATCATTCAATAAAATTGTTGTTGGTAGACGCAGGCTGCGCTATTTTTTTATGCTTCATGCTTTTAGTATGACTGCCTGCAGGTATCCAATTGCTTAAAATGGAATAAAATTTTTATTTGTAACATTTGGAGGCGTGTAATATGTCAGCCATTTATGTACGTTTTCTTCTTAGTGTCAGCGATTCAAAATAGTAATAATAATAAGAAGAATAAGATAAATATCACCTGTGTTGCAGTAAGAGTGGAAAAATATCAGAATATATTTTGGTCACCTTATTTCTAATTCTTTACTTTGGTCTGAGTATTGCTTTGAAAAGTAACTTTTCTCTGAACAAAACTAACATTTGAAATGCACCTTATCGTCCGCATGTTAATATATGTTCGGGACGATTACGACTTTGCTGCATAAGGCGGAATGACTTTGTCCAACAGTTTGAAGTCCTCTACACCAAGATAGGCAATATTAGAAATATTTGGTTTCACATTCAGCTACTTTGATGAAGACTGCTGCTATTGACAGAAACTGTTTGAATTTGCCAGCAATTTTTCTTGTAACGACAGTTCGTAAACTACGCATCACCAGTACGGTCGTCGCGATGCAGCAAGACACAGCTGAAGAAGATCCATATCTGTCAGAGCATCACACTTGGGAAAACTACAGGATGTCTCTTGATATCTCCTACTGAACATCTGCACAGTAACAGAACATCCGCCCAGTGAATGATGTCTTTGGTATCTAAACACTACCCAACGCAGAAAATGATCTTGACTTGCCCCATGAAACCAAAGAGACTCTCGCACAACTTCATCCTAGATTTTATAGAATAGACCCTGACATACTAAACACATGTATTGCACGAAAAGAGTCTCGGCATGATACTAACCACCTCCTTGCATATCCCTTGAAGCCCGCTCACCCCATATCCCCTTCCCTATGGTCCAACCCCGTCGAAACAGCCTGTTTTCTGAACCTACTATGTCATTTAAACACGTTCGCAAGCTTTTCTTTATGCCTTCTACGTGATACAAATCATTTCGATTAGACTTAGAAACGTTCCATAAAAGACACTATTTGAATTTATGCCGCTTCTGCTACCAAAATCATTAGACTTGACTCTTTTACCGTTCCTCTTGCTGCAAAACGTTGTAACAAATATAATTTTTTTCACTTTCCCTGTCCATGGCCTGTTCGGAGTCACCACATAATTGTATTGTCATTCATACGTTTGTTCGTTGAAAAGGATTTGTATGCTTCTAGTATGCTTTTACCTCGCAGAATAGTTTGAATGCAGCAGCAGATAAGCAAATTGAACGCTCATTGAAGCGTTGAACGTTGAGTACAGTGAGGGAATAAGACAAATCGAGAGAGCTAGACACACACATACATAGAAATGAGGTTATGGCTTGAAGAAAGGATGAACAAATCGTGCATCGTTTGGGAAAGCCATAAAGCTTCGTTGCTAATGTAGTACTTGTAAGCAGCTAGACAAGAACGTGCAACTGCATATATTTGTTGTTATTTTCGGGTTTTCAACTAGCTGTTGTTAGCTCGCATTAGTAGTAATGAAATGAATTTTCGATTGGATTGGATTTTTGGCATAACCAAGCGTCGTTGTCACAATGCGGCGGTAAGTAGAGTTCGGCGCGGAATGGTGCGATAGCAAAACTTGAAGAACCGCTTGTGGATCATTGAACGATGCTTGCTGCATACCAGGCAGTCAGTGAAGCAAACCAGCCAACAAGTAGCATGCCACAAAGCAACCTTCCATCCAGCCAGCCAGACAGTCAGTTAGTGGAGTCAATTGCTGCCGAAACATCGGTTGTGCTCTGCGGCGTCTGCTGTTGTAGTTTTTGTTGCTGCAGCGTCTGCTTATTTGCTTGTATTGCACTGTGCATCTTCTAGCTGTATTTAGCTTTGCTGTTTTTGTTTACTTCATATTCCACTGTGTATTTATAAGTGTGTTGGTGTATTCTCACAACATTTGCATTGCATTGTACTTCATTATTGTGCTTTTGTCAACCTGTCAAACTCGCAGATTCTTCACTTTTTATGCAAATGCAACATGTTGCGCAGAGTATAATAGTTTTGTTCAACTAACGCTTGTTTGTGACACCTAAAACTAATCGAGATGGATAATATAAATAAAAAAATTATAGGGAAGAAGCCGAGACTAATTAATTTCCAAATATCGGTCCGTTCCTCGGTCTGACTGCCTAGCCATCTATCAAGCATATTTGGGTCAGATTCCATGACTCAGAAACAAATCGATCAATTTGATTTCAATTTGATGCATAATATATCCTTGACATGCTTATAATCTAGGGTGTAAAAATAACACAACTACGCCTTCTAGACATATAACACAATTATAAATTTTATCAGATCCTTTATCTTGACAATAGATACATTAAGCATCAGTAAAGATGTCTTATATGTATATATATAAAATCTTCTACGAATATCAATGTGTCGCAACTATCTTCAAAAAATGATCGAATTTGCATTATTACTTTTGAAGCCCCCTTATACCTAATATGAAGAATGGTTGATTGTAGCATATACCAAAATTATCGGTCTATATGTGAGATATCTTAATAAAATTGTGAGATATCTTACTAATCTTAAACTTTTTTTTATATATTCGGCTCATTACTTTCACAATCCTTTAATATGTAAGAAATCTTAACAAAATCCTTGAATTATACTAGCTTCTATAGAATATATATAAGTGCTTTCAATATTCTATTTTATTTATCGTTCAATATGTGGGTTATTTCAATAAAACCCATTTAGTCGAGCATACATTAGCTAAATCTCAAAAGGGAACAAAATCAGCTATAACATGGGGTAAGTTATAGCACCAATATATTTTTCACCTAATAATAATAATAACCTTCCCTCCAACTAGACTAATGCATTTCTTGTAATGTGCATCTAACATTTCGCTGTCAGTACAATAGTATGAAGCTTCGTGGCCGTGAAAATAGATATTGTCTTCCACTTAAACTTCCTTATTTGCGTTAAATATTTTTCTAGCGTTCCACTTCTCAGTTTAACTTTACAGTCTCCCAACACAATATCAGGAATTTCCCCGATGTTTCCAGACGAAATATTTTTCAGCCCATGTAGTGTAATAATTTCCGTACTTCTGGTGGATCGTTTCTCTTGTAACGTTTATTGAATTCATACATATGTTATATTTTTATTATATTTTCACGCGAACTTGAGTGCTTCCTTACTTTAAATTCTTGTTTTTGTAATATGCGTTTCTTCCCAGGTATTTGTTTTTATTTCTCCTTATATTTTTTCAATGACATTCGTTTGTATTTATTGCGCTTTGGCAGCATTTTATTTTTCTCTGCCGAGTAGCGATTTTCAAAAACTGTTGTTTTACACTCGTTTTTTGCTCAAGGCTTTTATTCTGCCATCACTTGCAATACAATTACAGCTATTGCATGCAATACTCATTTGTTGCTGTTGTGTTTACTGTTGTTGGTTGTAGTCTCTTGCTGTCGCATTTGTTTTTGCACTTAATTAATGTAATTATCGGTAATTTGTTAACTGTATTCACAGCTCTGAGTGCAAATAAACTCGATTACATTGTAACGGTTTGTCACTATATTTTGTTTTTGTTTGCATTTGCAAGGATTCTTTCGCTCGGATTGCTTTGTTTACCAGGAAGGAACTATGCAATTTGTACGATTACACGGAAATTATATTAGGATATTAGTGTGGATTAAATAAAAGAGACTATTGTATCAGAATTATAGCTTCGAAAGCTTTGTTTTTACCAGAAGTAATAAAAACAAGAAAAACGTTAACTTCGGTTGCAACAGAGTGAGAGAGAGATAATACACTTCACTAAAACTGGATTAGATATTTTGAGTAGGAAATTCAACTCTAAAGCTTAAAGCATTCTCCTCACAAAAGCTCAAATTAATTAGTTGATTAGAGAATTTAACTCCATATCCCCAGCTCTCTCTGGATCTCCCAGCTTACTCAAAAAAGTATAAATATTTTGAGTAGAAAGCTGACCTTCAGAGTTGGTCTCTTAGATCCATTGGAAGCTTTGTGGATTCTTTAAGCTTTCAGCTTTCTCCACTCAAAAACTGTAATTAATTTTTTGATCAGAGGGTTTAATTTCAGTGTGCGTCTCCTAGTTCATTTATGTGAATTACTGTTTATTTAAGCTCTTCACAAAAGCGCGAATTGGTATTTTGAGTAAAAAGTTCATCGGCAGAGTGAATATTTTAACTCGCGCTTGAGCCTTATGGTCTTCTAAGCTTCAAGGTTCAGATACCATTTGAAAATACCAATAATTAAAGGTTTTTTATCATGATATATGTATGTAGTAAATTTCCTCTGCCGCTCAATCTTATTCTAGCAGCAACACTGCAAGGTTAACTCGAAACAACAACAACAAGAAAGCGCCAATTGTCTGCGTACATCCAGTCATTATTCAGCTAATCCAAATGTTAGTGAAGTGGACCAAAATTGTACGCCAACAAGCAATAGAGGTGAGGCATGATGAGTACAGACACATACTCCATATATCTATATCTATAGGTATATATATATGTGTGTATATATATACATATGTGTGTGCTCGTGTCACAATGCAATTGACCGAGTGTGCTAAATGAATGGCTGAAACTGCACAAATAAGCAGTGGATGAGTTGCAGGCTAACTGGGCTAAGCGTCGTCGCTAAGTTCAAAGTCAAAAAGTGGCTACGAAAAACAAAGTAAACCAGCGTCGCAGCTTGGCCTCCGTTAAGCCTGAAAATCGTTGCTTTTCGTGCGCACATGCCCCACCGCCCCGATAGGGTCGCAGTTTGCCGCCGGCGTCACTACCTCTACAGGCTTCAGGTATAATTAATCTTGTTTAGGTTTTGTTTATAAGGAGTCTATCATAAGCATGTGTGCGACCGAGTTACACCGACCGTCTCTGCGTGCTTGTCTGTCTGTATGTGTGCACATTGGGCTTTGACTTTTTAGCCAGAGCGTTCGGGCCAGCTGGAGAGATTTCATGCTGTGCGAGCAGTTTAATTTGCACAGCAGGACATTTTTTACTACTTACTCGCATACTCGCTCGCCCCTTTCGCCCGCTTAGATTCTGTCAACTGTGTTCGGCTGTCGTTGCTGTAACTCTTGCTTTTTCATTGTTTACTTTTGTTGCTATTTTTGATGCATGTTGCTGCCGGATTTTTGGTATGGCATTCGAATTTCCGGAAACTGCTGCGTCATGCCATTGGTGGCCTCAGGTTTTCCAACTATTAATTTTCCTCAAGGCAAGATTAACGAGTGGATGATTGCTTGAAATTGTCCAAAAAACCTTTGGCAAATAAATGCAAACTCACCAGCACACACACACACATATATACATACACACATATACTAACATGTAGCCAACTAAGCAGGCTCATTGCTTGACAAAACTTTCTCCGGCCAGTTATTGGCCTGCAACTTTTAGCCGACTAATTCGCCTAACTCCTTGGCGCCTTGAGCAACTTTCGCTCGGCGGCTGTCAGTGAAGTTGCACTTTAACACAGTCCCAACTTTTGCATAAGCGTGTGTGTGTGTTTTCTAACTGTTTTTAAGTGAATTTTCCAATTTTCGATTTTGTGCAATTTTTTGGCATTTCTGTTTTGATTGCTCGGGCTCGGAAGTTCAAGCATTGAAGTGCTGCCTAGTGTGTGTGTGCGTATGTTGTGAAAAGCTCTCGATCTCTAAAGAAGTGCAATTAATTTCATTGTAATTGCCCGCATTCTTTTTGCTGGCGAGAAAGCTGCTCGGCAGGCAGCTTTGGATTTAGCCCAATTAATTGATATGAGCCTGCTGCAATATTCAACAAACTAAGCTTCAAAGCTTTCAAGAG